TAAAATAAAGAACCACAACCAGAGGTGGTATTCAGCCGGTTCGGACCATTTCAGGTGAACCTCTAGGGGAAATTTTAAGGACAACCGGCAAATACCACCTCTGGTTGGCCCTGCCCTCCTGCCCCTATCATTCCCTGTCCTATATTCCCTTGTTTTTTAGCTCAGCTGATTCGTGCAGTAGAGTGGATTGCTGCGTCTCAGCTGAGCTAAAAAACAGCTCAGCTTACCAGTGCCGACATCGAGGGCGGTCTTTGAGTGCTCACGTGTGTGCATGTGCAAAATGCTCTCTCATGGAACTGGTAGGAAAAGATTTAGAATCCCACCACTGAATAAGATGCATGAAATTAAATGATATATTTTAGACATAGCGCAACGGTTGAGGTCTTTTGGGGCTTTTGAGTCAAGCTGTGGTTTCCCCAACACTGTCAAATAAAACAAGCTTTGGAAATCAAATGAATGTTTAGAGAAACTGTGACTTGCCACAGAACCTTATGGAGAAATTCTCTTGATTATGCAATTCATTGACTTCCCTGAATTGAGGCATATTATTTAAAGAAATGGCCATTCTTCTACATCCTCAAACATTTTCCATCATTGTTTGGCATAGGTTTTGGACAACAGATCTGTACAAGAATACATTCTTTTTATTTTATTTATTTTTATGTGTTAAGAAAATTTATATGGCTGCCCAACTACTCATGGTGACTCCAGGTGGCTTACAGATGTAAATTTATGTTTATATACTTCTTATTTATGAACATTATTGGGGAAAAGAACTGACACCATCATTAAGTGTTAGAGAAGACTTCAGTGATGCATTTCTAAAGGCAAGATTTTAAATGACCTATTTCTAGAAATAAGATTTTAAATACTTTTTAATTATTGATGGACAAAACTAAATCATTAGCCAAATGGAAACTGACAGATATAAAGCTCAGGAACTGAGACCTAAGATTCCTTTCAAAGACAACAATTTTTATACTATTTGGGAATAATTTTTGATTCCATTAAAATACTTTGAAGAGAATTTTCACTTCATTAAGTTTTTAGTACTTGCAGCAGCTCCATACCTAATTGGTTATAGCCTAATTGGTTAGGCTGTACATTTTTAACATGTGTAATAATTGATTTAAATTAATTTTTGATGTCTCCTGAAAATAGATAATCCTTGTCCAATCTAATTTGCATTTCGAACTAACAAGTTACTAGAAATGCTTTAGTTAACATTGTAAATCTTGCTCTGAGGAAAAGTAAAATGCCTTCAAACAACCAATTATTAAACAACTGATAAAAGAGCTTGGATAAAAATGCCTCTTCAAAAATAGGAACATATAGTCCAGTTTTAACTATTGTTTAAAAATATTAAAATAATTCAGAGTGCTAATTTCTCATCTTCTGGAAATCCTGACAGAATATTACCATATCTTGATCTACTTCAAATCAATTCACAAGTGATTGTAAGTTGAGATTGACCAGTCAGCCCAATGGCCAATCTTTGTTTAGGAATTATCTGAAGGAATGTAACTCTATTGATTATTCTTGACTTCTCAATATCTTTGATGTCATTGACTATCATAACTTAATATTTTGGATCACCCAAGAGATCAAATAAATAAAAGGTGCTGGTTTGCTCTGTTTCTATCTCTCACACAGGTTTCACCTGGCGTTCCCTAGAGACAATTACTCCTTGAAACAAAAGCTATTATATATATACATATACCCCTCAATGAGTCTTGTTCTCTCTCCTTGTCTTTCATTCATGTAGATGAAGCCACTGGAAGAAGCCTGCTATCAGTATGTCGATGACACATCCAAATCTATTTCTCTGCAATAGCTGCAGCTAATGACATAGCTCCCTCGAGAGCCTGCCTGCAGTTGTTAATGAGTGGAAGAATAAATAAAGTGAAGCTGAATCCAGATAATAAGGAGCTGCTCATTATGAAGTGTCATAATGCCAGGGAGGTGCTAGATTTCCCTGTTACAAATAGATCACACACCCCTGCCTCCTTGAAGGATCACAATTGCACTTTAGGGACACTTCTCAC